AAACAAATAGCAGTGCGACAGTTTCAAAACCAATTGATAGGACAGTTTCAATAATTAATACATTGCATATTGTTGTCTTCATAATGGTTATTCATAGTAAAAGATGCAGACGTGATATCCTGTCCAAACACTATTAGTTCAAATCTTTCTTCTCATTGAATTAAGAGGAAAGTAGCTGTATATCTATCCTAACTATTTTGTGTATACAGATACAAAATGGTCCTTCATTTCTTTCCCCCTTTTTTTGTTTAGTTTTTTTGGAGATGGGTATTCCATTGCCATTTAAATATAGTAGGTGGGTGAATTCAGCAAAATGATCCAATATAGTCCAGTAGTCCATAATAGTAGTGGATTATCCATAGGACTGGCAATGTCAGAAGTTGTTGACTTGAGCCTTTTACAGCTCAGCATATTAATATGGCTTTACTTTTCATACCTTGCTATTATACTGTTCTGCTGAATGGTTAAGACCAAGATAAAGCAAGACCTATATATCAAGAAAAGTAACTTTTGTACATGACAAGGTCAGTCAAATCCCCTCAGGATTTACCCTGAAATCCTGTACCGCAGTTTGTAGATCCTTTGTCAGTGTCAGCCCTGTGTATGAGTCACAGCCATTGTCTGACCAATTTGAGTCTACAAACCTAAAATCTAATGCTGTGTGAACATCTCAGAGTGGACTTGTAAGGGAACAGTAGGGAGAAAGGAGGATTAAAGTGAAGCATCCAAGCAAGGCAAGTGAAGGCCTTAAAAGAGGATAAAGGCAACAGTTTGCTACAAATGAAGGTAAACTTCTATATGTGAGGCCCTAAAAGTGGAGCAGGTTTAGTTTATAGAATTTGATTGGTGTGGATTGATTAAAGAGATAGAGAATACTGGCATGGATATTATTGGGCAAAAGGAGGCGCTGGATGGAGCAGAAAGATAGGAGAGGCACCAACTGCCCCACGAAAGTTCCAGAATGAACACAAGGAAGGGAAAACTTCACCCAGCCCCAGCAACTGCAGACGTTCAGCCAGCTCCCTTTTCCCGGGGCCCTGCTAAAAGGCAGAACAATCCATCTAAAAAGCTCTCTGGCTTTACATAATGAGATATTATGTAAAGAGTGATCTTAATTTAGGTGATGGTATTGACCAGAACAAACAGCAATAAAGCAGAAATGATTAAAAACACGTCAATCACATTTATGCTTTGGCGCTCACAGTGTGTACACAACCTCCCGATCAGCTGTGTGAATCCAGGCCACTAATGCAGCCTGGCAGTGTGCTGAAAAAGTCAAAAGGTAACCATCTAAGCACTCCTCTGAATTTCTAAAGGGACAAAAAAAGAGGAATTTCTGTTGTCATCGCCACCATCTGCTACAGATTTGCTCATTTATGAGTGAGAAAAACCAGCAAAATATTACATCAAAATTTTGCCTCTGTTGTAAATCGAGTTTTGTCCTCTAAAAACTCCTATGTTTAAATTCTATCCCCAGGACCTTAAAACATGCCTTATTTGAAAATGGGGTGACTCTTGGTATATTAATATGAGTTCCAACTGAAATGGCAGGAGCCTTAAGCCAACACAGCTATATCTTTATGAATAAAGGAAATTTGCATGAAGAAACATACACTGAAGAACCTCATATGAAGAAGGAGGGACCGGGTGGTGCTTCTCTTCCATGCACCAAAGGACATCGGAGATCACCAGCAAGCATCAGAAGCTGGGCGAGACACAGCGCAGTCTTCCTCTCAGCTCTCAGAAGGAAGAGACCCTGCCAAGCTGGGACTCTGAACTCAGAACTGTGAAACAACAACTTTTTGTTGTTCAGGCCACCTGGGGTGTGGAACTTCATTACAGCAATGCTAGAAAAGCATACAGCTCCACAAGTTTTTTTTCTGCAAAAGGATTTATTTTCTTTTGGCCCAAGATGTGGGAGGGGGCTCTAGGAAGGTGAGCAAGCTGCCTAGTGGCTGGAGGGAGAGGGTCAGGCAAAGCCCTGATGCCGGTGATGCGGGAGCCCCTCAGAGACCGCCAGGCTCTGACCTCCTAGTCGTGTTTAAGGGTGAGCCTTTCAAGGAGGCATTCGCCCAGCCCAGCCTGGGGCCTGCCAGCCTGCGGAGGTTGGTGAGGTGGTCACCTGTCTTCTTGATGAGCTTCACCTCCTCATCTAGGAAGTGGTTCTCCAGGAAATTACAGAGATGGGGGTCGGTCTTGGCAGAGCTCAAGGCATGGAGGTCCAGAAGAGCTTGGTTCAGGTTCTTCTCCAGGGCCAGGGCAGCTTCCATGGCGTCGAAGGTTTTACCCCACTCATCTTCAGATGGTTTCTGCACGTCTTGAAAGTGTACACGGCAGCCGCGCCGGTTTTGCATCTTCAGCAGATGCTCGGCACCCTCTCGTTTCTCCTTGGCCAGCTCACGGAAGAAATGGCCCACGCCCTCCAGAGCCACATCATCTCTGTCAAAGTAGTAGCCCAGAGAGAGGTAGGTGTAGGAGGCCCGCAGGTGTAGGTTCACCAAGCCAACCCCACAAATAAGGAACAAAAGATAGTATTCTACCCTGGCAGCAGGGTTTAGGGACCAGGAGCTCAACCTCTGCTTAGGAACCAAGCTGTAGAGAGCTTAGTTCCATTCCCTGGAGGCTGTGAAGCCAAAGGAATATTGGCCCAATTTAGCACTTCAGTCCTTTCAACTGTAAAATGAGTATAATAGTGATGATACTGCGTGGGATGACGTGAGCTACCGCTGTTCTTAGCACAGTGGCTGGTATACATTATGTGTTCAAGAAATCTTAGCTGTGATTATCAACAAAATGCATTGCAGATTACAATTCAGTTTCCCACAGCTCATCTTTCTTCCAACTCCATGAGGGTACTGTTGTTATTTGCATTTTACATCTGAAGATGCTGAGGCCCCAGGCTTTAACTGGACCATCTGGACAGGCTCAAGATGTTGAGTATTCTGGATTGGACTCCCAGCTCTTCCACCAGCTAGCTAATTGTGGACACATTTTTTAAACTCTTCAAATGTCTGTCATACTAGTTTTCAAATGAATAATTATGAAAGAGATAAATGTGTGGCCAGTGTCTAGTTCATTCTAGGCTTTTGATAAGTTATTTTCCTTACTATCACCTTTCACAAAAGCACACCAATTATTACTGAAACCAGCGATTTGAACAAGCATCATATATTCTTTGCCACATCTCATCATCTTCCCGAAGGCATATGGTAGATATCGATACTGGGGAAAGATTACAAGATATGGGGGAAGTAGGTCAGACATTCTAAGAATGACAAGAAGTGGGACAGGCAGTAAGAAACTGAGATGGAGTCAGGGAGAAAGCAGGAGCCCATGGGAATTAATTGCTCATCAAGCAACTGATAAGTTTCCTCAAGGAATGGTGTCATTATAGAGGTTCAACTTTGATCTCCATGGCTCCAAGTTTGCACATTAAATAGAGGCAGTACATACATATTACAGGGCCCAGGAACAGCCTTGATCTGATTGCTTCCATTCATGAGGCCCTACACTCTTCTGCCCTTTTCCTTTAGAGCCAGAGTCAGAAGGAAGCTATGTTAGTTAAGTCTGATCACCCAGCCACATCACTCTCCTTTGCCAAAAACTCTGTTCACATTCTCATCATGGGTCCTTTCTCCTCACACAACAAGTGAAGAGTCAGGCAAACCACGTGAAGCTCTGTCCATTGAGTGGATTTTCATCACCATTTTCTTTCATAACTTCCACTTTGCTTGCACCCATGTACCGAGCTAACTCCTCTGTATTATCTTTCTGTCTGGGGCTTCATAAACTAGGTAGTTTAAAATAATATAAATGTATTCTTTCAAACTTCTAGAGGCAAAAGAAGTTTAAAATAAACATGCTGGCAGGGCTTATTTTCTTACTGGGGGCTGGGAGGGAGGACTCACTCACAACTCTCTCCCAACTTCTGTTGGCCGATGACTACCCTCAGCATCCCTAAGCTCGTGAGGCTATCCCTCTAATCCCTGCCTCTCTCTTCAAATCACCTTCTCATCTGTGCCTCTGTGCTGTCCTCTTCTGTTAATCATAAAGATACATGTCATTAGAGATGAGATGCACAAGGGAAGCCCAAGATGATCTGATCTCGAGATCCTTAACTTTTAATTATCTCTCTGAAGACCATTTGCCAAATAATTTATATTTGTATGTTTCACACACACACACACACACACACACACACACAGAGTGTGGTTATATCCAACTCACTGCACTTTCCACAAGCCAAGATTAGCCTTTATTCTCTCCTACCAGCTGAATTTTCCATACTTCCCAAGTGGTCAAAAATATGTACAGAAGACATTCCAAGTACAACATTAGTGGGTAACCTGACAATCGATTTTCTCAAAAGACCATTTGTGCCTTGCCCTTAATTATTCTCAATTGAAGATGCACCACTAACATTTGTAAGTGAATTACTGTTGGATTTATCCAACATTATGATTTAAGAAGTTTGACAGAACTACAGATCACTATGTACAGGTCTAGCTACACACTCATATGATGTCTTGTGGTCAGATATTTCCTCTCTGCCTGGCCCCAATAGAGTGGCAAGAACTATTTTTTTCTCTTCAATTTCACTTTAATACTTATATCCATATTTGGTCTCTATAAGTTTTTATGTTTTTTAAAATTAAACAGAGATTATCAAGAAATTATAAATGAAAGGTACATGTTTAGTACTGAAGAAGAGAAAAATATATGCAAAATGTCTACATTCTTTCTCTTCGTGCACAATTTTGTAATAAAACCCAAATACCAACTTCGAGGTTACTTATGAGGATAAATTTTTCTTAACATGTGATCATTTACTGTGTGGTAATTTTTTTCATAAGCCATATACTGTAATGTAAGCTAGATATATTCTTATGGTTTACAAGAAGCATGGAGCAATTATATACCAACAGAGAAGACGTATTATATTTTACTGCAAAATATAAAAGTGATATAGTTGTGTAGCTCCTAAATGATTAATGGAACAAGGGAATGAAGAACAAACAAAATCATCAAGACAGGCCTGGCTTTAAGATTTTTTTGTATTTGATTCATTCTACTTTCACATCATCTCCAATTAGCTGATACATATAAGTGATCACTGTAGAAGCTTGGATATCCATCAACACAAATCACAGAATAATATTTGTTTCGAAGGCATTATATGCCCCAGTGGCAGAACCTCAGTTAATGTAGAATTTATTTTCATGCTCAAATGTTTCAAATTTGTGTGTGTGTCCTGAGATACGAATGTCCACATCGAACTGCTTCTGCAGCAGGACTAAGCTAGCTGTATCTCCCCAGGGCATAACCTGATGTCTGTGGATTGGACCAATTTTGAACTGAACAACTGTCATGACTTTTTGTTCTAGGTAATTCAGATTCTCATCAAAGTCTCCTCTCACTATATGAACATCACCAGCCAGGGTCTTGAGATAGTCATAACTCTCTTTGGTGCAAAGGTTTCCAGTGCAGAGAATGTGCTGAATCTTTCCTGGCTCCAGAAGCTCCTTGAATTTAGTCGGCAAGCTATTGTACTGATGCGGGAGGTGCTGGTCTCCTAATACCAGCACCAACATCCTGTCACCCGGCTCCACTCAGTCTCCACCACCACCACCCTCTTCCTCAGGCTCCTCTATAAAAATTGTCTCAGATCTTTTTTGTTTATTTTTGTGGTACTGGGGATTGAACTCAGGACCTTACATTTGCAGGCAGGCGCTTATTCTACTGAGCTATCTCCCCAGCTAGAACTATTTTCAAATGATGTCTAGTTCTTTGCTGCAAATGGCATGATGTGTCCAACCCCCAGGAGGCTATGCTGTGGCTCTCTCCTCTTTATGCTTCATACAAACCAAACACAGAGCGTATTTGCCTACTATACACCTCTCTTACTCAGCATGTCAGGTCATACAGCCCAAATGCAGGGACTGCTGGCCATTGCAGCCGGGCTTTGCTGCAGAGCTTTGTTCTGAACCCAGCTCAGGGCTCTATACAGAGCTGGAAGCCTTCCATGTTACTTGGAAAATGGCACAGAGACTATCCTCAACGACAGAATATTCTAATCCAGAATATAAAGAGCCTGCTGGGTCAAATACTTCTTTCTAAGTGGTGAAAGATTTAAGTGTGGTAACTTGCCCTATCCTGGTAGAGGACAATTCATCTCTTCCAGAGTCCTGACCTCTAGAAACTTCACTAATAGGGCAGACCTGAATCTTCACAGGGCTTGCACCCCACACTCCACACCACATTGCTTTACTCATCATGTTTTATACTCTTTCCTTGTCTGATCTGATGAACAAATTTTCTTTAGTAGAATTAACTAGTGTGATGCACTTCCCAGTGGCCCAGGTCCCTTTGGACTGCATTTTCACCAAAGACAGTGGAGTTAACATAATCTGACAAAATTATGATCGTAGCTGTACACTGTAGTCTGTTCTACTTAATTATGGACTCTTTCTGATTTTTCTTTCTAGCATGGATGAAAAGGGACAAATTCACCAAATCAATAGGATACATATCATCAATTGTACCCAAAGTTGTGTTTGCCAGCTCCAGCACAGGAGATAAAATATAGTTGAGTTATCAGAAGTCTCCTCATCTCAGTTAGAATCCATTTTTACTCCTATAGAAAAGAGACTGATGAATTAAATGTTGATGTGAAAGAGGCCACCAATTATATATCCTTTATGTGTTGACAGTGGATGAAATAGAAGAAAGAGATTTAGAATGATCGTCCTTCTCTTGCCACGTTAGCTCTTATCCCATAAACTAAGAAATAAATGTAAGGATTCCGCCATACATATGTCCATTGTAGTTACGTATTTTGGTGATCAGAGATATTACCATCAGGTAAATCCCATGGACCCACAGGATCCTACTGTGTGACAGACTTGGATGAAGACTCCATTTACTACAAGGTTATCATAGGCTGCTACTCTGATGGTAATAGCACATGGGGTCACTTCATGTCCCTGTGTATCCACTGCAACCCAGATCTTGGGCACAAACTCATGTAAAGTTCTTGCTACTTCCCTTGTCTAGTGCATAACCACCCACATGAATGGTCAGAGATCCATTGGAGGGAGCTCTGGGGAAGGGATCACTGCACGCTTCTGCACTCCTTTAAAACAATTCTTCAGAGAAACTTGGCCGCTCCTCTAGTCAGTGTGCTCCAAATCCCAAAAGAGGTCTAGAAACTGTAAACGAGCTACAGCAAGTGTCCTCAGCACACATTTTTGACTTGTTAGGTTATATAAATTAAACAATGATCCTATGGTTTACCAGATATCCTGAGCTAAGCACACTGAATTGTACTGATGTATTAGCCTGACATTTTCACTGATGGCAATAAGTGGGCTCACCTCACTTTGACAGGGTTGCACTGCTGTCCTGACCTCAATTTCTACAAGGTGATAGCATTCCCAGTGCTACTCTGAAGTCCAATTCTGTAGCTACAACTCCTATGTCTGTCCTAGCCCATTAGAGGAAGAGCCATACCAGACATCTCAGGTCCTCTATACCCAGTGCATTCTGTATCACTTTGATAGATGAGCTGTCTTGTGGGCTGAGCCTTCCTACAGAACATAGTCCACATGTAGATTTTCCAGTCTTATGTAGTACATCATTTCTAGAATATCCATGTATCTGGGGCCTTCACTCTTCGTTCTGCCATCTTCAGGAACAGTTCTGATAGAGCTACTTTGCTTATTATGAGCCACCATTTTTTTCTCCAAGCTTCCAGAAGTGATTAGAATGCTGCTATGACTATTCATCATGATATGTCAACTTAAGTGGAATAGGAAACACCCAGCATATTGGTAAAGCACAGTTCTTGAAGTGTCTTTGGATGACTGACAGGTTGACCAGTACTGAGGCTGAAGATCCACTTAAATGATGGGTGACACTAATCAGTGAGCTTATCGCCTGGACAGGATAAACAAGGAAAAGAAGAGAAAGTGTGTCCCTTTGGAATAATGACCTTCCTGAGTGGGTACATCTTTTGCTGCTATTGCCTTTGCATTGATTTCCACGTATTCAGTTCCTTTAGCCTTATCATGCAGCTTCACGCTGGCTACTCTCCGATGAATTTCTGAACCTTTGACCTTGGATCAGCACTGCTTTGCTGATCCTGCGTGCTCTGTGGCTTCCATCTTCTTGAGCTGAGTGAACCTCTGGGTGCTCCAGTATGCAGAAGGCTATTGTGGATCATCTCTTCTTTGATCTTGTCAGCCTACCTAATAAATCCTCTTGCAAAATTATACATATTTTTTCTATCAGTTCAGTTAATACAGGTAAAGATCTGTCTCCCAGGGTCCTTGCCAGGACATTGAACACTGTAATATAAAATAATGCTCCCTCATAAAAACAAGAGCAAAACAAAACCTCTGCCTCTGCTAATTTAATGTTCTATGCCCCTTGATTCAGTATCACAGGATCCAGGATCCCAGTATATATTCCACAATTTCTGCTGGGATACTGATCATGTCCTGAAGCTCCTTTGGGGTATAGATCCCTTTCTCCTCCAGCAGGGCCAGCATTTTCCAGGCCGGTTTATGCTGTGACTTACTATAGCCACTGGTATAGTCCACAGAAATGGCATGAGTAGGTATAGCAGTTAGTAGAAAATATACTATAAACTTTTTCCTCATGATGGTATTGGATATTAACCCAAGTCCTACAAACTGAGCTGCATCCCCAGACCTTTTTATATTCTTCATTTTAAAATAAAGTCTCACTAAGCACTAAATTTCCCAGACTAGGTTCAAATTTTTGGTCCTTCTTCCCCAGCCTTCCAGAGTGATGAAATTACATGTGTGCCACCATACCTCTTTGTCATTTCTTTTTGCAAACAGAAATTTAAATTTTCTTTATGTAGTCAAATTGCCAGACTGCATCTATGTAAGTCTGGGGTTTTCTCTTTTGCGTACAGGCCATCCTCATTCCAAGACTACGAATGTATCAACCGATGCTTCCTTCTGGAAGTTTCATGAGTCATTTTTATGTTTAAAACTTTACACCATCTGTAATTCCAATTTTATGTGCCACAGGAAGAATAAGGGCCATTTTTGAAGAAGCTTCCCAAGATACTTTGCATTTCATTAAGTCAGAAAGAAAAGTATCAGATACTGTCTCTCATTTTTAAAATAGTAGTTTATTAGTGCGTGTACATAGTCCATGATGTTTACATTCCCTGCGGGGAGCTGGTGCATGTGCATAATGCATCTTAATTCTTTTCTTTATCCCCTTTCCCTTCTCTCCATCCTCCTCTTGCCCAGCTCTTGATTTCCTTCCTTTTCTGTACATGACTGCAGTACCTAATGTTTACATCCTTTGTCATAAGGATAAATTTGAGTCATTTGTAAGAAAATGGATACACTTTGAGACCATAAAGTTGAGTGACATAAATCAGACACACAGACTATCCTTTCTAATTCTCCATCCTACAGAGTATTTCGTAATTAAACTTAAAATGCATTTTATGGTAGAAAATTTGGAAAATCATAAAAGGTAGAAAGAAAAAAAAATCAATGGTATATCCATTAGTCAGAGATAATCCTTACTACTATAATGTTCATTACAGGTACAACTATATTTTTGCAAATTGTAAATAACATCATTCTTAATTTTTTCATTTAATATTAAACCATCAGATTTTAGATCTATATAATTATATAATCTCTCAAGACAGCATCTGAGGGGCCAGGAATAAGCGCTTGCCTGGCAAGCAGAAGGGCCTGAGTTCAATTCCCAGTTCGGAAAAAAAAAGCATCTGAAAGGGTTATATAGGATTTTATATGCATAGAGCACAATGGTAAGATTTCAACACCTTGAGAATAGATCATTAAAAGCAAATATAATGAATCAAAATTTGCAAATTTTAAAAATGTTTTCAAATAACTATTGTAACAAGTATTACTGATTTCACTTTTTCAAACTCTGAGAGCACTCAACTGAAATAGAATATTTTCCTGTTCTTTTCATCTTTGCCAGGTCAGAAGGTGACAAATGGTTTATAAGTAGAACATATTCAGTGTGACTGACTGGGGTACTTTCTGCAGAGCATAAGTGTCCCAAGATTAATTAAAGCAAAGCTCTTAAAACCCTCAAGTCCTTCACTCTTTAATCCTGAGGAAACTTTAATCCTCAATTCTCATTCACACTTCTTCCTTTCTGTGTGTATGTGTGTGTGACTGAAGAGTAACCCCAAACCCTGTGCATTGGGCTATATCCCACTTAAAATTATTTTGTTTTATTTTTTATCTTCATACAAGGTCTTTGTCAGTCTCTACATTGCCCAAGTTGGGTTCAAACTCATGATATTCCTTTTTCAGTTTACTAGAATGCTGAGATGACAGGCATGTGCCATCACACCCAGCCTTCCATTTACAATTTCAAACACAGACTCAAGAAAGAAATGACTGGTCTTCCATAAGGAACTAAAGCCTCACGTGAGGTGAAGGACATCGTTCTTTGAGTGACTGTGACTCAAAGAAGTTGTATAATTCTTGGTTCCACCTTTCTGCTGAGCAGAACACTTAAGTTTAGGTCCAGTCATACAAGACCACAGTTATCAGGAGATAAAGGCAGAGCAGAGGGAGAGGTAGAG